CCTCCCCTTTTCCTTCCCCTCCACTCTCCCTTCCCTCCCCTCCCCTCTCTCCCCATACGTGGCCACTTGCAAGCCAGGGAAGAGATCCTTCACCAGAAACTGAATCCACCAGCACCGTGATCTTGGCCTCCTGGCCTCCAGAACCATGAGATGATCCCTTCCTGTTGTTTAAGCCACCATCGTCTATGATATTTAGTTATGGCAAACACAGCCTTAGCAGCCTCAGTTTCTATTCTCCCACACATAACCTATACTTGGTGCTCAACTAGCTATTTTCCACCCCCCAAATGAGATGTGTGATTTCTTCATGCTGAATGCTCCCCAACCCCCACATTTCCACCTTATGAGATTTACTCATCCCTATGGTCTTCCGAGACAAACCTTCCTGCGTGAAGTCTTTCCCAATGCCTCAAACAGCTCTGTCTCCCAGTTCTGAACTTCCACTCTGGTTCTTACTTCTCACGATAGCACTTTTCTTTACTACTTATCATGGCTGTATTTCTTTTAGATCACATTGTCCCCGCAGGCAAAAACTGCCCTCCACATCCCGGTATCCCTCACAGTTCCTCTTACTGTGCCCTTGCACCTAATAGGGCCTGATTATTTATAATAGCTATTCTGGGTGGCCTAACTTGATTTTTTGTAACTGACTTTCTGTTATAATCTCAATAAACTACCACCTTGAGAGAAAGAGAGAGCTTTTCCAAGATGCAAAAAACAAAGATGTATGCTTGGCCAAGAAACCCAACTACTCTCCGTGATAAGAAGAATAACAGTACTTGTATATAGTACTTACTGTGTGCCAGGCATAGTTTGAAGCATTACATCTATGTATGTATGTATGTATGAATGTATGTATGTATGTATGTATGTATAAGGTCTGACAATTAACTTCACGAATTTGCCACCATGTGTTTACATTGGCAGCACTGTACAAGCAACTCAGTCAAGTTTCATAACCTTAGTATATCAGTGTCTCACAACTGTGTTTGTGTTGATGTGCGACAGTGTCTTACTGAGTGGCATTCATTATTGTTGTTGCATATTTTTGTGTGTTGTTGTGAAAATGTCAGAGCTTGAATTAGAGCAATAAACAAACATTAAATTTCTTGTTAAACTTGGTGAGAGTGGAAGTGAAGTCAGGGACAAACTAGTCCAAGTTTATGGGAATAGTGCCATGAAGAAAATGACTGTGTACAAATGCATTAAACATTTTGCTAAGGGGGCAGAAAGTGTCACTGATGAAGAGAGGTCAGGATGGTCAGTAACGAGCAGAACTGAGGAAAACATTGCAAAAATCAACGAGTTCTGTGTCAAAATTGTTGGCTGACTGTGAGACGTATAGCAGACCAAAGAAACATTGTTAGAGAAACAGTTAGGAAAATCTTAACTGAAAATCTTGGCATGAGAAAGGTGTGTGCAAACATGGTCCCAAAGGAGCTTTTGCATCATGACAATACACAGCTCACACAGCACTGTCTGTGAGGGAGTTTTTAGCTGGTAAACAAGTAACTGTATTGGAATACTCTCCCTACTCACCTGATCTAGCTCCCAGTGACTTTTTTCTTTACTGGAAGGTAAAGGAAATATTGAAAGGAAGCATTTTCATAGCATTTAGGACATCAAGAGTAATATGATGTCAGCTCTGATGGTCCAGAAAGAGTTCCAAAATTGCTTTGATAAGTGGACTAGGTACAGGTGTCAGTGCATAGCTTCCTAAGGGGAGTACTTCGGAGGTGACCGTAGTAATATTCAGCAATAAGGTATGTCGTATTTTTTCTAGGATGAGCTCACAAACTTAATTGTCAGACCTCGTATGTATGTATGTATGTATGTATCTTTCTATGTATCTATCTATGTATGTATCTATCTATCTAGCTCATCCATCTATCTTTCTATCTATGTTTCTAGAAGGGAGGGAGAGATAGAAACAGGAACAAGTCCTCTGCTTCCATGCCTAAGGACCTCATGTCCACGAGGCAGGCAGGGCCATGACATCCAGTTGCATGCTTATACTGGAAGGAGGTGGGTTAGTAACAGAGAACTCAGTGTCTAACGAGTTTAAACATTCAAGAAAGGAACCCTTCCTTTCTGTTCAAAGGAAATTAAATATAAAGTCTGTTTGTCTAAATTATCTATGAGCCTGCTTAATTAGAGCAGTGACATTTTCCTGACTGACAGCCAAATATGTGCTTAAAAGAGCAGTTACAGATGTCTGTGGATTCCACGAAACTAATCTGATAAAGGTCTGATTTAAATCAACCAGATCTCGAAAACTGATAGTTATGATTGATATCTCATCTTTAATTTTAGCATGTGGGAAGAAATCATATCATTTGAGTTTCTTATCAGGGCATCTGTCCCTCACTGTGGAAAGATTTTTGTTTTTTCAGGAGAAGGAAAATACTAAAGAGAAATTGTCAAGCCCTGTAAAACTTCAGACCACTTCACTAGGCCTGGGATGGCTTCAGGCAGGTTTTCATTTGTGTGGTGATGCCCCTGTCATCCACAAAGCAATCTCCTAGCCCAACATGCCACACCCTGGCCTTGGCAGAGGATGGTGATCACGAAAGAGGTTTTAATCCTTTACTTCGAGCTAAATGTCAGTGGCTTGACTTTCCCCCTCACTGATTATCAAGAACTCCCGCCAGGAGCCCATACCTCCTTTTCTTTATGCACACAGCAGTGACATCCCCCTCATCGGCCCTGCAGTTCACCAGATTTCCCTTGCCAAATTCAGTGACAAAGAAATGTTGTTAAACTCCCTCCATGATGGCTCAAGGGGTAGAATATTGAGGAGCCATTGGTGTGGCTCAGAGAAAGAATTTTTCCCGGGAGAAAGAATTAGAAAGACAGAAGGATAAGCAAAATGCAAAGAGGCTGGAAGCCAACGAGTGCAGTAACAGCACAAGGGCACGAACTTAACTGTTCACCGAGAGCTAAAATGTCAGTGTGAACAGGCTGCAGAGCTCCTCTTTCAGTCTTGACATGTGTGTCACCCCAATTATCTCCTGTCTTCTCTCTGCCCACCACACCCAAGAGTTTCTTGATTTCTGAGTCCTACCTCTCCCCTCCTCCCTCCACACGCGCACTCTCTTACCAAGACAGTGAATTCCATCTCCTCGGTAGCCTTCTGAGCACCGGCAGACATATCCACCTTCAGTGTTGATGCAGGTGGAGGTGGGAGGGCACGCTGAGATGTCCATCTCACATTCATCTATATCTGTGGCAAGATTATGAACTAGTGAAATATTTAGGCAACCCTGGTGTAAATGAAAATAGCAAAAAAGAATAAGCATAATCTTATATTTCATTATGCTGCCCTTTACAGGTACTTCTGGCAAACATAATGCAAACCCTGCACCTTGGATGCAAAGTTCACTTCTGAATATATATATATATTCAAATATATATGTATATTTGATCACGGCTCATCACAGCCTCAAACTCCTAGACTCAATCAATCCTCCTACCTTAGCCTCCTAAGTAGCTGGGACTACAGATACACGCCACCATGTCTGGCTAATTTTTTGACATTTTGTAGAGATGGTCTCACTATGTTGCCTAGGCTGATCTCGAACTCCTAGGCTCAAGCAATACTCTGGCCTTGGTCTCAAAGTGCTAGGATCACAGGCATGAGCCACCATGCCCGGTTCTCCTTCCAAATCCATTTTTATAGAGTTCCCACCTGTCTGATTAGCTAAGTATGTATAATAAATCACTTCTTGTCAGTGTCAGACCATAAGAAATGAGATCTTTCTTGTCAGTGTCAGACCATAAGAAATGAGATCTTTATCTTATATTTTTGAGGCCATCGACATAGAAGAGGAAGTTATTCATCACAATCTATTGATTTTACTAAAACTTATGGACTAGATTTCTGGGAGGTACAAATTTGTGTTTTCTTTTTTCTTTTTCGAGTTGGAGTCTCACTCAGTCGCCTAGACTGGAGTGCAGTGGCCGCTCCCGACCACCGCAGCCTCGACCTGCTGGGCTCCGGTGATTCTTCCGCCTCAGCCTTCCAAGTAGCTGGAACTACAGGCGCGCGCTACCACGCCCAGCTAATTTTTGATTTATTGTAGAGATGAGGTCTCGCCAAGTTGCCCACGCGGGTCTCAAACCCACGGGCTCAGGCAATTCACTCACCTCAGCCTCCCAAGGCGCGGGATTGCAGGCTGAGCCGACGAACCTGGCTAAATTTGTGTTTTCATTGGAATTGGTGAATTCATAAATTTGACTTAAACTCACATTTATGCTTCTAAAGCTGATTATAATTTCGTCCCCTTAATTGTCAATGGCAAATATTATACACTGTTAATATAAACTCAGTGTAACATGTTATATTATATGTAAATATATTTATATGTCTCATATCTTCTATGCATGCCATCCATTATTATTATTATTATTATTATTATTATTGTTATTTTGAAAGAGGATCTCACACTGTCATCCAGGCTGGAGTGCAATGGTGCAATCCTAGCTCACCACAGCCTTGATCTTCTGGGTTCATGCGATCCTCCCACCTCAGCCACCCAAGTAGCTGGGGCTACAGGTACGTGCAACCATACCTGGCTAATTTTTGTACTTATTGTTGAGATGAGAACTTGCTATGTTGCCCAGACTGGCCTCGAATTCCTGGGCACAAGCAATTCTCCCGCCTCAACCCGTTCATTATTTTTTTTAAGCTAACATAAAATAACTTATTCAAACCTGCTGGTTACATAAATTCTTCTGGAGATTTTGAGTCAGTAATAATAGAAAGAATGCTTCTGGTTCACTATTGTCCAAATATGCGTATTTGGCCTTTGTTCTTACCAGAACACAGTTTTCCATCCCCAGAAAATCCTTCCAAACACTGACATGTGGCATCTTCTCCCTCTGAAATGCACTGAGCATACTTGCTGCATCCTCTGGGAGCACAGTCATCCCGATCTGCAAACAGTGAGAACCCTACGCAGTTATTTCCAAGCCTTAGAGGAGAAAATAAACTTTAATGTTCTGGGTTCTACAGTACAGCACTTCTTCCCTCAGTACTGGACAGGTCAATCTCCAAACAAAAATGCTTTGTTAACCTATAAACTATATCAACATCAAAAGATGCATAAGTCATATTTCTGTTCAAATGCTCTAAACAAACCTGAGTCTTAAGGAACTATTTGGTATAAACTTACTTCTGATTTTTTAAAAGCACTTGCAAATTTGAACTATAAAATCACTATAAGTCTAAAGGTTAATTGCTGCTTATTTTGAAAATTCCCAACCATTTTGACACACCAAAGGAGTCCATTGATTCTTATCTCCCAAAGACACACAGATTAATAAGTAGCAAGTAGCTCTGTGCACCCACATGGCAAAGAGATTCCATCATAAAAAAGATTTATGGTCAATTTACTAATATCATATATAATAGCCTATGTATGTCACTATGGGTATTTTTTATCAAGATTTATGCAGTGACTTGCAAACCTCAAGGCGCTTTTACAAAGTCAGGAACCATACAAGTTAAATTCTGTAAATGGATGGTTTCATTTCATACTCCATTGAAATGCAAATGCCCCGGGGGACAGGGTTACACGATGAGCCATAAACACAAGCAAGATGGGCATTCTTCTTTGCTTTAACTACTTATGTATGTCATGATCCTCTAAAGGCCACCCTCTCCCCTCTTTTTTTGGAGTTGGAAAGGTTTGACATACCACAGTAGGATATAAACTATCATCTGTCTATTCACTGGTAAGTTTGCTCATCTGAGTACAAAAGAGATAAAAGAAACCCTTCAAACTTGCCCATAAATTAAAGAAGGTTAAATGATCTAAGTAGGTTTCAGGTGCCATGTGGATGCAGACGTTGGGTAATTGCATTTGATTTGCTTAGCTACTTGAGCGAGAAAATTTCTCTTGTGGGAGCATATGCCTTTCATGCTTGCTTGGTCATCCCTTGTCACTCACGACTCTCAGAGAAGGATAAGTTCAGACCAAATCAATTATCCATTTAATTCAGCATTTATTTGGAAGACTAGCTTCCAAATCACAAGACTGCTCAGAGTGTAGAGCAGACAGTATCCAATTACCTAAGACATTTTAAGTCACTTGCAGAATTATCTTAAATTAGAATATGATTCAGGATTTATTTGGTAACTTGCAAACCCCAAGGCAGCTGTGAGTAATGAAAAGCAATGCTTATGCAGTTGTAGGAGGGATGGGCCACAGCCAACATTTTTTTTCTGCCTCAGTTCAAATGAGCTCTGGAAAAAAATGCCTGCTCTTGGAGTCCTCTTCTCTAAAATATGGACAACCATTTCTGCCAGGTCTATTTTTCATGATGGTGCTAAGGACTGAAGAAAAAGTGATTTAAAAAACCCCCCTTTGATCAAGCATTTTTTTAAAAAAGGTATTTAAATAAGCGTAATAAAGAAGAATTTTGTGACAACCCAAATGATAAATATCACACCAGAAGAGACTCCAGGCCCTGTTAAGTAAACTAATAAAATTCATTCAAAAGGACCTACTATGAACCTGGCCTTTCTGAGAGCCAAAAATATAGTGGTGAGGAATATTGACACGGTCCTCTTCAGTCTTGAATAATGAATGATTGAAATACGAGTGTGGTAAGTACAACCAAGGGGCAGTAGTGAGATTCTAAGAGAGTCGTAATAGACAAATTCACGTGGTCAGAGACTGAAAGGCTTTCTGAGCCAGAGACAGGAAGGACATGCAGCACTCAGAGGAGTGAAAAAGCGCACTAAGGGTTGAGAAAACATTTTGTGTACATTACAGACAAAGCCAGCGTAACTAAAGCGGACCCTAGAAAGTCAAGGACTGAAGGGCTGGTGGGTCTTGTAGAGGCTGGGGTGGCGTCTAAAGAGTAATGCCAGCAGGGTCCAACAGACCACGTCAGGAATTTCAGACTGTATTCTACAGTCCCAATGTGGAATTTTCAAACTGTTTTTTTTAGCTATTAGACACTTAGTTGAAGTGGAATCTCACTCTGAAACATAAATTAGACTCCTTAGCTTAATTTAGATGGAACTAACACTTCACAGACTAAAATGACACAGAAGACAACCTGAGTATGGAAAGATGAAGTGTTTTTCACCAAGGCAATCAGTTCCATCTCTTCTACACTAGGCAGAATACAGTCTCCAGTTATGAAGTCGACACTGCCTGGAACATATGTATCCAAAGCTTTGGTCACTTTGTCCCTTCCCCAATCTCACCCATCTGTCATTTCCTTTAGCCTTTGAGTACCTCAATCATTATTTTTTCAAAATATGCTCTGTGAACCCCTAGGGATCCCTAGTGACTTTGCAAATGTTCTCTATACCACTCACATTGATTGATAATGTTTTATTCTATCATGTTGTCATCGCCACATCAAATTGTGACCTTGCAGACTGGGACTGTGTTTGATTCATCTTGGTATCCCTGGCACTTAGCACAGTGTATGCCAAATAAATTGCTAAATCTATATCTATATCTATATATATATATATATTTTTTTTTTATCGGAGTCTTGCTCTGTCACCCAGGCTAGAGTGTAGGGTACAATCAAGGTCCACCACAGTCTCGACCTCCTGGAATCAGGTGATCTTTCTGCCTCAGCTTCCCGAATAACTGGGACTACAAGTGCACGCCATTATGCTTGGCTAATTTTTTGTGTAGATGAGGTCCTTCTATATTGCCTAGGCTGGTCTTGAATTCCCGGGCTCAAGTGATCCTCCCACCTTTCCCAAAGTGCTGGGATAACAAGCGTAAGTCACAGCACCCAGACTTAAATGAATAATATTCCTAATGTGACAAAGGTTTCTAGAACTTCTTATTTTCACATGAATTAATTATTCGGTCATAATTTCTAAAACCTTTAGTCAAGTCACTAACATATCTTAGTCTCAGTTTTCACATCTGTAAACTGATGGGTAGTGATAAAGAACAAATTAGAGAATACAGTTGATTCTTGAACAACATAGGTTTGAACTGTTCAGGTCCACCTATACTTGGAATGTTTTCAACCAAACTCTGATCAGTATTTGCAGGATGTGAAACCCATCTACATTTTTTTATATGTGGGTTCTGAGGCGCCACTGCAAGATTTAAGTATGTATGGGTCCCAGGACCAACCCCCAGGGGATACCGAGGGATGACTGTATATATAAAGTTTCATACAAGTTTTAGTTATTGTTATGACTAAAAATATGCACCTGTTTAGATCTTACCGAAAATCACACTAGTAATGTGAGGCAAGAGGTCCCCAGAGCCCTGTACACCTACGGAGTAGCCTGCAGATCACAAAAGTTTGGTAAAGCACTTCCTTAACTGTCCTAATGTGGAGTTTTCAATTTTTTTTTTTGCCACAGACGTTTTATGAAAATAAAATGTTATTCAGTCTATAAACAAATGGAATGTTTCAAAGTCAAGTTACACTGCTTGAAGGGCAATGACCTAGGGTGAAGGGGTGGGACTTGCTGAAGAGCTAGGGCTAAACCAAGCCATGTTGGAAAACCATCAGCCCTTGTAAGTGAATATAGAACGTTAAAGACTTAGCTTCCCTAGAGTTGTTACCTAATGAGAAAATGATTTGACATTTTGGCAATAAATGTGCAACACAGAAGAAAATAATTCTAAGATTTGCTGTTTGTGGACTCTTTGCAGTGGTTAAAGCAACCAACTTATGTTTGCTTATCAACTACTATCAGCTTTTCATGCTAATGGAAGTACATCTAGGTGGACCAAACACCAAAAATACCAGCTGTGAATGAGGATACACTCAAATCTGTTCAGTTTTCTGTTTTCACCTTTGTTTCCAAGGCATAGCGCTAGAAAGGGCATTCGGTCCAAAGACTCTCAATGTGTACTGTCCATGTCTGGTCTGATGTGGCACCATCTTTCTCAAGCACACCACTCAGGAGAGGAGAAGGGCCTGCGTCCAAGGTTTGGCTTCATGAGTCTTGTGTGGATTTAGCCAACATTAAGTTAGAGAGAAAATTCAGAATTTCTCACTGGTAGGATGGAAATTGTTGGAACCAAAGCTGTATTGGAAGAACTCATGATTCATACCTGACACCATGATTTCAGCCACTAGCAGGTGTTGGGATTCTATGATGTTATCTTCTGACTCTGTAGTGTTGGATAAATTGTCCGACTGTGTCACTTGGTCACTAAGATCAACTTCATCACCTATCAAAGGCGCACAGATGCAATTAATTTAGATTTCTGTTTCAAGGAAACTTTGATTGAATTTACATCTGTGGTTATTCATGTGTAGTGAGTTCAGATTCATTCTTATAGTAAGAAGATTCAAGTAAACTGGCAGGGTCTTGGTGACTAGAAAACCTCACCCTGATAACCCACACCCTCTCCCATTTTCACTCATGCACATGATGGTTTGGGGGGCAGGAGCCAATGGGGAAGAAAGATGGGACTGACAAAGAAAAACAAGAGTAAAATACTCAAATCATTATGAAACATAATCAGCTCATAACCACAGCCCACCATTTAAGAACAAGCTAGCAAGATGATCTCCCCAAATTGTCTTCCATACACACTCCTCTGTGAGGCTGTTTTTACATTTATTTTAGCCTGATTTTACCTGCATTTTAAAATGTGAAAGGACATAAACAAACCATGATTTAATACAGGCATAAGATTCATGCTCATACTATCCCTAGAACATGAGAGAAATGAATTCTTGAAGACAGCAGTCTCTAAATTATGTTCCATAGATGCATGAGATCCCACTGCAGAGTCCATAAAGGTCAAAATTCTTTCCATCTTAATACTATGATATTAATTGCCTCTTTTCACCATGTTCCTATTTATACTAGTATGAAAAAGCAATGGTTGGTAAAAGGATGGTGCCTTAGCATGAATCAAGGCAGTAATAGCAGACTTTCCCAGTAGTGTGCTCTTCACTGCCATGTACTCACATTAAATAAAATCTAGTTTCACAAAAAGATCATGATGAAGGAATAAGAATTATTAACTTTGAAAGCTCTCAACCACTGACTGTGTGGTGTTTTACTATTCTGTGTAATAGAATGGGAAATATACATAAACACTTTCAGTGAATACTTAAGGTTTGATAGCTATCTGGAGGAAAAGCACTTAGTGATTTTTGTGTTACAAACAGAAATGAGTCTCTTTTTTATTGAACATGATTTTTAATTGAAGAAATGACTGCTAATTGTGCTAAGAAGTCTTGAGTATTTGGCAAACATTTTCTCAAAAATGAATGAAGTGAGCCTATCATCAGGGAAAACAACTGGCAGTGTCTATGGCCAATGTCAGATTCCACGTTGCAGCTAAGCTTAGGAAATGACTGTCCAGCTCTGGTATAGTATAAAAAGAACAATATCAAAAAAGCATCTCGAAAGACTGTTCAATAATACAACTCTGTGTCTGTGTGAGGACAGATTTTGTTCAAAGACTTCAACCAAGACAAGAAATAATAACAGATTTAACACAGAAGTAGATCCAACTGCCCTCTATTAAGTCAGACATTAAAGATATAAATGTAAAATCATAACATTCTTTTCACTATGTATTTTTTGCTTTGGAGGAAATATTTCTTTCAGTTATTTTTATTAAAATGTATGCTAATAGATAATGGATTTATTATTGTAGTTTTAATTGATATTTTAAAAATTTGGTTTCAGTTTTGTGTTTTGGGTTTTTTTTTTTTGAGTTGGAGTCTCACTATGTCCCCCAGACAGGAGTGCAGTGGCCGCTCCCGACCACCACAGCCTCGACCTGCTGGGCTCCGGCAATCCTTCCGCTCAGCCTTCCAAGTAGCTGGAACTACAGGCGCGCGCTACCACGCCCGGCTCATTTTTCGATTTGTTGTAGAGATGAGGTCTCGCCAAGTTGCCCAGGCAGGTCTCGAACCCGCAGGCTCAGGCAATCCACTCACCTCAGCCTCCCAAAGGCGAGGGATTACAGGATGAGCCACCGAGCCTGACTTTTTTGGGGTTTTTTTGAGTTAGAGTCTCACTCTGTCGCCCAGACTGGAGTGCAGTGGCACACTCCCGGCCACCGCAGCCTCGACCTGCTGGGCTCTGGCGATCCTTCCGCCTCAGCCTTCAAAGTAGCTGGAACTACAGGCTAATTTTTGATTTATTGTAGAGATGAGGTCTCGCCAAGTTGCCCAGGCGGGTCTCAAACCACGGGCTCAGGCAATCCATTCATTTCAGCCTCCCAAAGCGCGGGTTTACAGGCTGAACCACTGAGCCCGGCGTGGTTTCAGTTGTTAATAACATAAATACTGATAGATATAACTCACATAAACAAAAACTATTTGGGGTTCTCAATAATTCTTAAGAATGTAAAGGAATCCGGAGACTAAGAGGTTTGAGAACTGCTAATCTAAGGCAATAATTAAGAGAAATTTCTGAAAATTCAGAATATCCAACTCGGTTCACAGCTAGATGCATTTTTTTTTTTTTTGTATGGTCAATGTGTTACCTAACTTATATATATATCTTTACGCCTACCAGATAAATATAATTTTAAGATAAACATTTGAATCAAATTTAAATTACCTTTGGTATACTTTTGGTAGAAAGATACCGAGAGATGAATCCAAATTGAAGCCTAAATTGTTTGGGTCCACTTTTAAGGAAGCAAATCCTACTACTGGCTGCACATCACACTTGGTTTATTCTTCCTTCCTCTTCCTCAAATTAGTATTTTATTTGTAAAAAAAAAAAAAAAGTGGTTCAGAAGCCTTCTCAGGTTGGATTTTCCATGCTAGTTTGATATCCTAAAGTTATTTTTTAGAAAGGCCTTTGCTTTTTATCTAAAGATTTGTCATGTGGCGAGGAGATAATATAGTACTGCCTCTAAAATTGAGGGCATACAACTTGTAAACAAAATGCCCCTAAACATTTTTGTGAGGTAATCAAACTCTGATCTTTATTTCCAAGTCTGGAACCACCTCACTGTCCGTGAGGAGATGGAGAAATTGGAGCTTAAGACTTACAACTAGAGGTCAATTGAATTTTGTCTGTAATAAGGAACTCAAAACTCATCAGAGGAAAACAAGCTCTCAGCATTCCTAAAAACGGTAGCTTTTAATATCTAAAATATTAAAAATCGGCAAAAGCAGAGGGGTGAATGTACAGTTATATTTCTGAGCCAAGGTTAGATAATTTGCTACATAATTTATTATATTACCTGTTGATATCTGATGATCATTCAGAGCTAGACACCTTTTCCCGTCTGAGGCTTTCAGGAAACCTTCACGACATGAACACCAAACAGTTCCAAACCTCTCTTTGCAAATATGTTCACAACCTCCATTATGATGTAAACAAGGATCGGCTCCTAGTGGGAAAAGAGGCAAATTCACAGATGGGTTTGGAGATTTATAAAAAAAAGGATGCCATTAACGCAAATCACAGTCTATAGTTTTTGGGGAGAGAAACCAAGTATATCTAAACAGAGAGAGAATCAAGAGCTATTTCGAGACCCGCCGGGCAACTTGGTGAGACCTCATCTCTACAATAAATCAAAATTAGCCGGGCGTGGTAGCATGCGCCTGTAGTTCCAGCTGCTTGGAAGGCTGAGGCGGAAGGATTGCCAGAGCCCAGCAGGTCGAGGCTGCGGTGGCCGGGAGCGGCCACTGCACTCCAGTCTGGGTGACAGAGTGAGACTCCAACTCAAAAATAAAAAAGGGCTATTTCCGAAGAGTTCCCATAAGCAGCCACTGATTCTAAGATAAGCCCAAAATGTTATTACTCGTATTTGTTGAGTATAACCAGTACTTTCGTTCAAGAAGCTCTTTTGTCAGATGTGATTCCTATTTCCTGACTCATAATCTAATCAAACTGACAAAGGGCAATTCAGAAAGAAGAGCCCCTATAGCATGCTAGATGCCTTTTCCATTTGCTTACTCCTGGTTGGCACTCACTCACTGGCACTTCAGGGGTACAGAGAGGCCCAAGTGAGGTAGAAGCTTCCACTGCAGGTATCTAAATTGCCTGCCCTTTTTTTGTTGTTTTTTGTTTTTTGGGGTTTTTTTGGACTCAGTGTTTCACTCTGTCACCCAAGCTGGAGTACAGTGGCACTATCATGGCTCACTATAGCCTTGACCTCCTGGACACATGTGATCTTTCCACCTCAGCCTCCCAAGTAGTTGGGACTACAATGCATGTGTCACCATGCCTGGATTTTTTTTTTTAAGTGATGGGGTCTCCGTATGTTGCCTAGGCTGGTCTTGAACTTCTGGGCTCAAGCAATCCTTGTGCCTCAGTCTCCCAAAGTGTCGAGATTACAGACATGAGCCACTGAGCCCACCTGCCCTTAGTGCTTTTAACCCAAGAATTTTGGAAATGTGCAGGTAAACAAAGCTACTTAGGAAGAGATGAGATTGAAGGGATAAAGCCCAAATGACCAAACTACTAGACTGTCTTAGTTTCAACAATGTTGAAATCTTAGAAAATCTTAGTATCTACAGTTTAGTGAAAATTGCAAAATCCTCCCCCCCACCCCAATCCCCAACCCCCCACACACAGCCCAGCATCAAAAAATTAAAGTAGCCAAGGGATTTCAGCCACGGGACGACTGTGAAACATCTCCAGTGTACCTGGTTTTGACAACGGGTGAACCACAACCAGTGACGAGGGCTTCAGCATGCTGCCTCGAAGACATACCCTATTTTTTCCAGTTCTCTTGTTCACCCTTATTACCGATGGCACAGCCCAATCTGAGAACCACACATGATCTTCAAACACAGCTACAGCAAACGGGTGACCTGGAAGTGATTTACATCCGTTAAATAACTGCCATTGTCTTTGCAATGACTATTTTCCAAAGGCTAAGGCTTGAAACTTGCACATTGTTCCTACACATATATCCATTCTTTAGGTACGAGCCACGGACTTACACCTGCATCAAGGAGAACCCACACGATGAAGGAACCTCATCTTAGAACAGGTGCCTGGTGACATGAGGTCCCAGCAAAGCCTGGGACCACTCAGCATCTGGAGAGTGGGAGAAGGTGGGCTGGTTATCTTACTAGCACCAAGAAGGAGGGGCCAAGGTGGGAATTTTTCGTGTTCAGTACATCTGTCACTATTTATGGATGACACTTGAGGAGGTTGTTTTACTTCTCTTCATCTTAGATTCCTTGTCTTTTTTAAATTTTATTTTATTTTGAGTTGTGGGGTACATGTGGGGATTTACTACATAAGCAAATTGCATGCAGGTGTTGTTGGGACTTCCAGCAGGCCCTTTCTCCCCCCGGAAATGGACCTGGTGTATTTGTGCTCCCCTTATCTCTTCTCCCTCCTTCCCTCCTTTAGTCCAGTCTGTTGTTCCCACTTTTGTGCTCACATGATCCATGATCAGATCCCATTATGAGTGAGAACACGTGGGTTCCTTGTATTTTTAATGATGGTAATAAGCAGAAGACCAAACTCACAGGCTGTTTTAAGGATTTTTAAACATTTGAGGTATTGAACAAGTGTCTGCCCACATTCCCATCTCACCCACACATTTCCCTGCCTCTCCCACCGCCATTTCTCTCTTCTCTTCCTTAATATTAGTCTATGGCCTTGCCTCCAATGTGGCCCTTCCAGCCTTCTCTAGGGCCTTACTCCATCAACAACTACCTCTTCCCCTTACATCTTCACTCTCTTCCTGCCACCAGCTTTCTTCTCTCTGTCTATTAATCCTCCCTCCCAGCTTTATTTTCTAATTTCCTTGACTACCCCCCCCAGTTTCTCTTTGTCTTTTAGCCAAGATTTCTGAGTCATTTATTTTCTGCTGCCTCAATTTTCTTTTCTTTTCTTTTTTTTTTGAGTTGGAGTCTCACTCTGTCGCCCAGACTGGAGTGCAGTGGCCACTCCCGGCCACCGCAGCCTCGCCTGCAGGGCTCTGGCGATCCTTCCACCTCAGCCTTCAGGTAGCTGGAATTACAGACATGCACTGCCACGCCCAGCTGATTTTTTAATTTATTGTAGAGATGAGGTCTCGCTGCCCAGGCGGGTCTCGAACCCGCGGGCTCGGGCAATCCACTCACCTCAGCCTCCCAAAGGTGCGGGATTACAGGCTGAGCCACCGAGCCGGGCTGCTGCCTCAATTTTCATGGCTCCTCTTGATCCCTCAGTGGGCTTCCTTTTGAGTACACCTTACTGCCCCTGAAATTGGTCTGATAAGGTATTCAAGTATGTAATAAATTGGCAGGTGTGATGGCTCATGCCTATAATCCCAGCAATTTGGGAGGCCAAGGCAGGAGGATTGCTTGAGCCCAGGAGTTTGAGACCAGTCTAGGCAACATAGGGTGACCTTGTTTCTACAAAAAATTTTTTTAAAAAACTAGCCAGGTGTGGTGGTGTAAATCTGTAGTCCCAGCTACTCAGGAGGCTGAGGCAGGAGGATTGCTTGAGCCCAGGAGGTCGACGCTGCCGTGAGCCATGATCGTGCCACTGCACTCCAGCTTGGGTGGCAGTGAGACCTCGACTCAAAAAAAAGGATGTAATAACAAGAAAATGTTTTAATATATTATTGCAAATGGCTAGAGACTAAAGCTAAGAAGGCCTGCATTTGGAAGCTTTAATCATGTCCACTTCATTCCCACCCAGTCTTTTTTTTGTAAATGAGCAATGGCCTTGATGACTTAGAATGAATGCCTCCCTCTACTGGTGGCAAACTCAAATGACTTGTCCTGATAGATGATGAGCCACCACACATCACTATTGATTAGGGCCATCAAGATTCCTTTTAGTCTTTAGCCTTTTGCCCCATATTAAAGCCTTAAATACAGCAAGGGAATTTTTTACATAGCTATAATTATTTTTATGTGATAAAAAAGCATAACACAAAATTTACCACCTTAACTATTTCTAAGAATACAGTCCAGTAGTGTTAAGTACGTTCATACATCATTGTGCAACCAATCTCCAGAAGTTTTTCATCTTGAAAAATTGAAACTCCATGTCTATTAAACAAGTCCCAATTTCCCTCTTCCCCCAATTCCTGGCAACCACAATTCTGCTTTCTTTTCCTATGAATTTGACTGCTCTAAATGCTCCAAAGAAATGGAATTGTACAGCACTAGTCTTCTAAAGACTGGTTAATTTCTGTTAACATAATGGTTTCAAGATGCATCCATGTTGAAGCGCATGTTAAAATTAGCTATGGTGATTCAACAAATATCCCACAGTAGATTTAATCTTTATTTTCTGTTTCTAGAAAAGCTACAAGTCATTGCATTTTAAGTTGAGAATAAATACCTTCAACCATTTTAAGATGACTTAAAATCGACAGCATTATATGTTTTTCATTGTGTAGAACATGATGTTTGAAGGTATAAATACACTGTAGAATAGTTAAATCTAGCCAACTAACAAATTTATGACCTCACAGTTATCATTTTTGTGGTAACAAGTGTGTAACATTCACTCGTTAAAAATCCTGAACGGGCAGCTGAGAAGCCACCACACATATACCAGTAGATGGCACTGTAATGATGGAAATCGTTATTTCGATAATTTAATATAAATTTAATGGCCATCAATAAGCATTTGCCTTAGTCATAGATTATAGTAGCAAGGCAAATTATTCACAAAATATTTGCTATGCTTTTTGGTTTGCAATATGGTGCCTTTACTTTCCAATTAGAAATTTTTAAATCCTTTTCTTCCTTATATACAAACTAAAATTTTACAATGATTTGTGTATTGTATTTTTAAAATAATATGTCTCTGCCAGTAGACTCCAAGACTTCACAGAAATCAGTTTGTTTTACTTTCCACTGTACCTTCTCTTCTTATGATGGCTCCATAAATACTCGTTAAGTAAGTGGTTGGATAAAGTCTAAGATTGTATATAAGCTTATCACTTTTTGTAAAGTGTATCTTTAATCTTTAAAGAATCTTAGAAATATATAAAATTTTGAATTATACGTATCACTAACCAAAGAGAATGGGCAAAGTAAATGACTTGTACAGATTATTAGTTTGTTAGCATCTTCCTAAACAAAAGAGACTGTTGTTTTTCTTTTTTTTCCATCTTCCCGGCCAGTTTTTAAATCTCTAAAGCATCATCAGCAACTTCCTGGCTCTGATTTTCTATATCCAATCTGTTACTAAATCCTTTCAGTTTTTCATCCACATTAATTTTTAATACTCTAATCCATTCCACTTTAAGACAATGTTCCTACTCAGGCCTTCATTACCTATTGCCTGGACAACCCCTGGTCACCTCCTAACAGATTCCTTCTCTCCAAATCCCAATCCAACCCTTTACTTTATCTAAGTGGCTATCCTGAGACACCAATCTTATCATATACATTTTATGCTCAAGAACGTTCAATGACTCCCTTGTAATTTGAGAATTCAGAATTAAGTTTAGTCAGCATATCCTGGCAATACTAACATACAAAGGCCAATGTTTGCAGACTTACAATGTTTTATCATTTTCTGTTTACCACTGGCCCAGTTCAAATACTGTCTTTGTAGATTCCCTGAGTCAAAATGAATTTTCCGGTGCTTATGTAATCTCATAGTCATTTAGTACTTTCTCTTTCAACAGGTAGTATATACTACAGTGTTTTAAAGATACTTATAAAAATACATAACACCCTATGAAAAATCTGAAAATACAAGAGGGAAAAACTATATTTGTTCATCTTTGCTCATGTTACCAACTGATATTCACTAATATCTAAAATTGTGAAATGACATTTTCTAAAAGCTAAGAAAGGATAACAGCTGAACCAAGTTTTTATTCCTAAAGAAGTTTAGAAGATTTTAATTCTGATTTTGGAAAAGAGGAATGATTATACAACACTATTTTTTTTTACCAAATATTCCAATGTTAATGTAATGCTTACAGCTCATAATTCTCTGGAGAAATCTGTCTGTCTTTATTCCTTCCTCATCATCTGGTTAAGTGTGTGTGTGTGTGTGTGTGTGTGTGTGTGTGTGTGTGTGTGTGTGTGTGAACACTTTTTGTATTTAATGCTCATCAACATTCAGTCAAGGTAAAGAAATCACCCATCCCAAAGCCTCACCTACATCGTTCTGGGCAAGTCTTTGGCGATTTGAACCATCTAGATTGGCCATTTCAATCACAGACTGCTTGGCATCACACCAGTACAGCTTGTCAGTTAGGAAGTCAATCGTTATTCCACTGGGCATGATCAGATCAGAGCTGGCTATAACCAGTCGGCCAAAGCCTTGAAGGGAAGAACTTTCAATTCGAGGATTACTCCCTGTATCAGTCCAGAACAATCTCCTTTAATCAAGAAAGCACATAACAAATATCTGCATGAAAAAAATTCTTCTGTTCTTTCATCATTGAAAACATCAATGTAAATTACTTCAGAATATACTGAAGAGGTACACTAAGGAATACAGAAAGAGAAAATATAGCACTGTATGTTGGACAAATAATTTTCCAAAACAGAACATTAATCTTGTCTATGTAAAGCTTCTCTTGGACAAGAAATCCTGAATGAAGGCTCAGATCATTAGATTAAAAGAAGGAATTTAGCAGGGATGCGACTGGCAGCTGAGGGTAACTGCTAGGGGAGGGAGCGGCATACCTCATCAACAAGGGTACCCCCATAATCAACGTTTGTATACCTAACCCTGAATTGTACCCCACATCTTTAAAATAAGAAAAAAATTTAAAAAGGAATTAATTTTTAAAATTGTGCTATGGTACTAATCAAAAGTGAGCTTGAGTAATATTCTTTTTTTTTTTTTTTTTTTGAGATGGAGTCTCACTCTGTCACCCAGGCTGGAGGGCAGTGGCATGCTCCCGGCCACCGCAACCTTGACCTGCTGGGCTCTGGCAATCCTTCCGTATCAGCCTTAGGAATAGCTGGAACTACAGGCACGCACTACCACACCCGGCTAATTTTTTGATTTATTGTAGAGATGAGGTCTCACCAAATTGCCCAGGCGGGTCTTGAACCCGCGGGCTCAGGCAATCCACTCACCTCAGCCTCCCAAAGGCGCAGGATTACAGGCTGAGCCACCGAGCCCGGCTGAGTAATATTCTTAAATTAACATTTCATGCTGCAAAGTACAATGAAATCTTACTAGCTAGTTTTCCTGTTATGCATATGTAAAACTCACTGCATATGTAAAACTGCAACATAAGGGGGAGAACATATTTATTGTTATCCAGTTTTATGCACTCCATTAACTCAGTTAATTTTACGTTCCATAAATCAGGAACCGGACACATATTTTTGAGGTCAGTGTGGCCTTTTTATTGACCTGTTTAGAGATGGTTACATTCTTACTGTTTTAATCATTTGGTTGGCTTCAAATCATTTATTAATTACTACCAATATATTATCTCCCATCGAAATTCCAAGTCTAAATCAAATAGGGTTGGTTTTTATTCCTGCTTTTTAACAACCAGGAAGGAATTCTTTATTCTCCTTAATTCTCTAAACTCTAAGCCCAAATTTGTCACTAATTCACGATTAACAGCATAGAGTTTTCTAATCTTTTATAACTTCTATTTCCTTTTGTTTAAAATCTAAGACTGACTTATCATTTGAAGTCATCTTATGATTTTTCTAAATAGAAATCATAAGTCATACAATACTTAAGCCCAATAATCTAGTTTCTTTAAAAATCTGATTTTTAAAGAAACTAGATTATTGGGTTTAAGTCGAATCAGTTAAAGAATTACAGCAAGAGTCTTTTTTGAAAAAATTGAATTTGCTTAAAATAAAAGGACATATTCATGATAAAATTATTATACAAGAATAAAAAAACAAGACATTCAAAGGATGAGGAATTCATGCTAGCCACAGATTTGAACACATCTCATGGATTTTCTCATTTCTAATTCTACTGACCACCTGAGGTTTGAAGATAAATTTTGGACACCAGCATAGTAAACATGAATTGTCACCTGACCTCTGTAGAAAGTTACCTTATTTCACAAATACGTACTTGGCCACTGGATGGACAGAGATCCCTGTTGGTTGAGAGATATTCTCTTTAATGATTGTTTCTCGATGTTTTCCATCCAAATCACTTCCTTCAATGAGAGATTTCCTAAAATGTATGTAATAGAAAGAGGTTTGTTATAGCAACTTTTCTTTACAAGCAAAAAATCACTTTTTTTCCGTGTTCTGGAAATGCAGATGGGCATGTGACTACCTCCTGTCTCTCTCCCCCTACACACATACACGCACAATCAAGTCGCACCAACAAGCCCACACATTTTATTTTTAAAACACAATCTTTCAATTAGCATCCCAATATTTATCCTAGGCAATTAAAACACAGTGACAGGATAAGGTAAAAGGGGACTTAGTGGTCAGGCAGGAACATTCTCTTCCCAACCTCCAAGCTCCTGCTGACACCAACAGAACCCAGAGGTAAGGGAGGTGTCAGACGAGAGTCACAGACTGTGGGGAGGAGGGAGACAAGCTGGCAGGGACAGCAGGAGGAGATTTATGTGACTTTAATTTTCTTCCAAATGATCCTAAGACATATGGGAGTATAGCTGTGCTCCGTATCTGTCCGTGGGGCACTGATTCCAGGACTCCCCACAGCTACCAAAATCTGCTGACACTCAAGTGTATTACGTAAATGATGCAGTATTTGCGTATAGTCTACGCACATCCTCCCATAGACCTGAAATTGTCTCTAGATTATGTATAATACTAATACCATGTAAATGCTATGTAGCTCTTATACTGTATTTTTCTTTGTATTATTGTATTGTTGTTTTTAATATTATCTAATTTTTGAATATTTTTTATCTGAGGTTGGATGAATCCTCTGATATGGAACTTGCAGATAAGGAAGGCCAACTGTACTAGAATATTATTTGCTAATCTTTACATTAAAAAAATAACCCTTTGGAATCTGACAGAGTATAATATTCTTATTTCCTATTTTTTCTATTTATTTGTCAAACAAATATTTACTGAGCGCCTACTGTGTACCAAGGATTGGCCTAGGTATTGGAGACACAATCATAAACAAAACCCTGTCTCCGTCCTTACAGGGTTCAAAATTCAGCAAGCACTGGGGTAGGTGAGGCTGGGAGAGGGGAGGTAGAGTGGGGAGGAAGGGAAGGAGACAGAAGAGAGAGGAAAATGGAATGATAATATGGACCAGGAAGTTAAGTGTTGACAGCAAGGATGTAAAGAATGTTATTGGGTGTTAGGACTTCTAGATATAAATTGGAAGGACACATTTCAGCACATAATAATAAGTTTCTCATCTTCAAAGTCCCAGAGAGCTATAATGTTAAAACAGAGACTTTGAAAAAACTAAACTTTTTTTTTTAGAGTAGATGAGAGACCCTTTGAGGTCTTTGATTACCCAGAAACTATAATAAATTTGTAAACGTGTAATTAATAAAAGTCAGCCTTGTATCAACTGCATAAACAGCAGATTAATGTCATGGTATTATACTATGAGAATAAACGGTTATTCTACTGGGAATAGGTTGTTTGGAAACCTACTTGGGAGAAGAGAAAGGGCAAGACTTTTTTTTAAAAGAGTGTAATTGGAAGAATTGGGGAGGGTGAGAGGTGGGTAGCCTAGCTGAGCGTGGGTTAGGGAAGGATTCCCAAGGGTAGTAATAAGCCCTGGAGCCCTGAGTGAAGGAATACACATGTGTGCAGTCCTATAGTTAGAGACCTAAAGAATATGAGGCAGTCATCATTTCACTTTAGAGAGTTTGCTGTGGCTTCAGGGTGGAGAGGGCAAGGCGGACAAGAGATGATGATGATGAGATAAAACCATGACAGCCACGATGGAGAAAAATGGACAGATTCCAATGCTAAATGCATCCATCACGCTCCAATCCCTTTCAGGAGTTAAGAGGGCTACAAGCAGCTTCCTGGAGCAGGGGGAACCCCAGGCAGAGGTGGATGTGAGTAGGGATAAGGAGAGCCTCCTTTTCCCATATACTGCCTGTTTACCATTTCTCTACCAAACTAGAAAATATAATTCACCTTTAATTCACAAACACCTGTTAAGGGCTTCCCCTCTTGCTCTTGTAGGCAACATCTGCATGAACATGCCTGTCCAGAATTAGCAGGACCATTTTCTGCTTCCTATTCTATAAGATGCTAGGGAGTCCTGCTCCAGGTGGCTTATACAAGCCTACTTTTTTTTTCTTCTCTCAATGTATTGTCTTTAATTTCTTTAAGCAATATAGTTTTCAATTCAGGGTTAGGTATACAAATGTTCATTATGCAGGTACCCTTGCTGATGAGGTGTGTCCCCCTTCCCTGGCAGTTTCCCACTACTGCCAATCCCATTCCCCCCTCCCTGGCAGTTTCTCACTACTGCCAATCCCTTTCTTATAGTATTATAATTGTTCAAGGTCCACCTATGAGTGAGAACATAGGGTACTCTGTTTCTCATTTCTGTGATAGATCACTGAGTATGATAGACTCTAAATCCATCCAAGATGCTGTGAAGTTCATATGTTTGTCCTTTGTGGCTGCATAATATTCCATTGTATGTATGTACCACATTTTAAAAATCTGTCCAGCTTCCATGGGTAGCATTGTTGGTTCCATGTGCCTGCTATTGTAAATAGAGCTGCAACAAACATACGTGTGCAAGTATATTTTTGGAGAATGATTTGAGTTCCTCTGGGCATATTACCAATAGGGGGACTGCTGGGTCATAGGGAAGGTCAATTTCTAGTTCTTTCAGAAATGGCCACACAGTCTTCCAAAGAGGCTGCACTAGTTTGCATTCCCACTAGCAGTGTAGAAGCATTCCTTTTTCT